TGAAATATCGCGATATTTCAGTGTATCGATATTTTCTTACACCCCTACTGATTACCATTTGTAATTAACTCAATTCAAGATGAATGCCACAGCTGAGTTTAGAAAACACAAAAATAGTTGTAAGTCAGTCTTACAAATATTCAATTAAAATTTGGTTTTGTAGTAGCTGAAAGTCCTTTTACAATATTGAATGAGATCAGGCATAATGGTATTTTCAAAGTTTTACCAAAACAGGTATAATTAATTTTCAATAAAAGATCGTTTAAGTTTATCATTTAGTTTCAGCATGAAAAGCAGAAGGTATTATTTAGGATAAGTTGACCTGATATAACGTTAATTGTTTGAAATACTAACCACAAACAAAACAGCACTGAAAACTGTCATTAAAGATGAAAGTGGAGAGGACACAGGATACTTTCAAGTTACACAAATGTAACAAAATGAAAGAATGTCAGGACAGTAAAAACACAATACAAAATAGATTTTCCAAGATCCTGAATTTATTTTGAAAGATCCATCAAAATTGCTGTGTGAGCCTGAGTTTATTTTGCAAGATTCACAGTTTTGTTTGTACAAATCTTTAAGGAGACATCAATACATCACATTTTTCAACAGGTCAGACCAGGAAATGGAGCTATTGCCAGTGAAYACTAGGATTTCATACACACAACCATGGACGGTGGAGGCTGTACCCCAGGATTCCTGCAGTAAGTTTCATTTTTGCCCACCTCCAACAGTGGAAAGTTGGGCACTAATGTCCTGATGTATCTCAGTAATCCAGGTAGAATAAAATCAAAAAGAAAAAATAAGTAGGTCCTCTGGATGGGTTCTTCTTTGGTGAAACGTTTCGTCTCTCCTCCAAGAGACTTCTTCAGTCTGATTGAGTTTCAGGTGAACGCAGCATTATAAGCACTGCCTCCACATGGACAAACAGGTTAGTCATATGGAAAAGAGTGCCATCGCCTAACAATGAGCTTGATTAGCTCTATTGTTCATAGAGGGTCATGTGCCCCATCACCTGACTTATTGGTTTGGATGCTGTGGTTCTTAGGTGTCGTGTTATGTGTATGTAATGAGTGCAAGCGGGGCTCGGCGTCCCCTTGTTTATGTCTTTTTCCCCCCTTTGTGTTGATTATCATTGGGGCCCTGATT